CTGTGTTTATTTCACCATTCAGCAAGCAAGACAGAACAAGCATAAAGAGCAGCAAGTCAGATGTGAATAAAGACAAAACCTGCTCTCCTAACTGAAAGGTCCCCTAATGTCACAGGAGACAAACCATTTTTTCCAGTTCCATAAGTTTTCCCCCATAAAAGTTGAATGGTATCATTTATTTATCTAAAAAATAAGGCAGTTTGTGTGAGGGATACTGTTCATGTCCGAGTAAAATTTGCTAATCCACCCCCCACACTATTGACTCCACTGTTATAAGAGTCATTCTGGTCTCCAACTGTTGCTTGGCAACTGAGAAGAATTTCTACATTAGTTTGTATGTTCTCCAGGGAGAGGGAAAGCTTCAGTTTTCAGACTCATGTGGGCAACCTGACCCTCTAGACAAGGCACTCTCAACCTTTTTTTGGTCACAGCCATAAATGCAATATGAAAGAAATATAGGCTGAATCAGGATTGTATAAGTCACATAATGAATCCTATATGATGATGTGTGAAGAACTGTTTCCAGTCTGTGGCCTCCTTCAATTGTGCCAGGGACCCCCAAGGAGCCATATGGCCCCAGCTGAGAATGGCCACTCTAGACTCCCATGATCTACCACCGTTGGCTACACTGTTTAGCCCTGATGGGATTTAACATCCAACTGGAGAGTTACAAGTTGTCTACTCCTGATGTATATGATAAAGGAGATTGTATTTCATTCCAATTAGTAAAAGATCGGTTATGGCTGTTAGAATAAATTATACAGAAGCTTTCTTATCCCTTCCCCCCATTCACAAAGACACAAAAGCGGCTTCAGACATAACATGAAAGGAACATCCAAATTATTACTTGCCAGGAATTCTGGCCTCTAAGCAAAAACAAAACTAACTAACTAAATTCAGCAGGTTAGAAATTGCTAATACATGTGACTTTCTGTAGAAGTTCAGTTTCAGCTTGTCAGAAATGCAGGAGATAATGATTCTGCTTCTTTGAAGAATGCTATGTTGAAATTTGATTGCATCAAACATCTGATTAAATAATTATAGAAGCAAAGACTGTTATTATGTTGGTACAGTATATATTTAATATTTAGCACAACTTGTAAACCACCTAAGGTGTCAGATTTGCATTTTAACCAGCTTGCTTCTGCTGTTTTCCATGCATGTATCTTAACTGAAGTGGTTTTAAAATTACAACCAGAAACCACAACCCTAAATGCACCTACTAACCACATTGAACAAGTTCACTCCTAAGTAAAAGCAACAGCTTCCTTTGAAGTACTGTACATCCCACTATGTTCATGGAACTTACCGTACTTTCTGGTAGTCCTATCTCAAACTGTAGCATTCTTAGGAAATGTCTCAATGAATTAATATTTCTTCCTTAAAATTAATTAAATATTAGGTTCCACTCTGGAATCCTGTGCATAAAGAGATGATGTACTGAAGGCAATTTCCCTCATACTTCCCCCAAGTTGCTCAGGGTGACATTCTTCTCTCTAGCACCACCATTTTATCCTACTGGCCAAGTTGCTTAGGTTAGGATGAAAAATTATGTATGACTAGTCTATTTACATACCGGCCAACATCCTATTGCTTGACTTTTAATCAATGGAACTTACAGAGGAATTGACTCATTGATTTAATAAGAAAGTTACAGATAGAATAGGCCCATTCGAATCAATGCAACTTATGCAGGAGTCAATTAGCGAAATCCCTATTGATTCAATGAGCTTACTCTAGTGAAATTTACTATGCTAAATTTGGCTAATGAGTTCACTGTGGAGTAGGATGAAACCTGAACTTTTCAATTTTGACACTGAATTCACAACATTCCACTAGCTTTCCACAAGAAACAACTGCAAAGTAAAGAAAAATTATTAATACAGTTCTGTTATGTTTACCATGGAAAGCTGGTGATATGCAGTGTTTTGTGCCCCATGGACTCTAGGAGTAGTTTCAGAATAGGTAGCCGTGTTAGTCTGTGCAAGCATATCAGGCAAAATACAAAGAAACAAAACAGTGGTTGTTATAGGTTTTTTGGGCTATTTGAACATGTTCTGGAGGTTTTTCTTCCTAATGTTTCACCAATCTCTGTGGCTGGCATCTTCAGAGGACAGGAATCAGAACTCTGTCTGTGCTCTGGATCCTGGCAGTGAAAGCCTTCGAGAATACAAATAAAATAGTATTTTTTAAAATAAGACAAAAATATGTGGCATTTTAAAGACTACCTATTATCATTGTCCATATATTACCTTTATCAATGTATCTTGTGTGTTCCACTAACTTATCAACCTATTTTGCTATCACCCTGATTGTTCCTCACCTTGAAAAAGACAAAGGACAGGCAGGATTTATGGCTCCTAGCTGGGAAAACAAAGCAGAGCAATAAAAATAGTCCTTCCTTCTGGGAAAGAATGGTCACCCACTAGTAATCACAAAAGGGGAAAACTCCAACTGCAAGTTAACTATACAGTAATGTGTTGCTATGTAGTCCCAGCTGGGTAAACTAAAGTGGCCTCTATGGCTTGTGAGAGAGTTTAAGCAGGAAGAATAATATTTTAATAACAGATTTGGGAAGACTTACTCACAGACTATTTCACTTACTATTGTATCTCTATGTGCTGTGGGAGATGTTAGCACCAGTCAAGCCTTCAGGGAGGGGGGGGATTAACAGTTGGGGTACTATGGTCAAGAATGCTCCCTCCACATAATTAAAAGTTCTCAGTGGTGGAGCATAGAGGAAGGCCTCCCCAGCAGATTTTGTTGATCACGCTGGTTTATATAGGGAAAGGTGTGCCTTCAACGTCTGAGGTTCCAAACCATTTGGGGCTTTAAGTCATTGTTAAAATCTTGAACTTGGACTGGAAAAATATTCACAACCAGTGTGAATCCTTCAGAACTGGCATGTGGGCTTTGAAAGATATTCCTATTAGCAGTATATGTGCTGAATATTGCACCTGATGCAGCATCTTCAAGGGTAGCCCCCTGTAGAGTGCCTTGCAGTTTCTCTGTAGGAAGGCTGGATTTTATTTTTTTGAATCAAATTAACAGTACTATTTTAAAATGCCTTTCAAGAGTTTAAATTTTAATTGCATTTTAATAATGTACAGTACTTAAATTTAATTCTATTTTTAGTGTTTGTCTTTTTTCTTGTGTTTTAATCTCTCATGATTTTAAGTTGTCCAGGATGCCACCTTGGGCCAAATTCTGGGTGAAAGTAAATGAAACAAATACATTCCCCATTACTCTTTCCTTATCAGCAATTTACTGTAGTTATTTAAAAGCCTACATCCAAAAGTATTTTCCTGCTGGCAGAGGGACAGTAGTGGGGAGACAAGCTGGTTATCCATTGAAGGGAAGTCCATAATCTAAGAGCAGCCACTGAAAAGGCCCGCCCTTGTGGCCTCACAGGAATTCGAATTGATCACAAATCCTCACTTGATCTCTGTATCTCTGTGAGAGCAGTGGATGGAGAGCAGGGCCTGCTCCCAAAGGTCTCAAAATCCAAGGAAACTCATATGGGGAGATATGGTCCCTCACATAGCCTGGCCCCAAATAATTTAAGGTTTTAAAGCGGAAAAGCAGGAATTTGAATTCTGTCAGAAATGGAGCACTAGCTAGTAAAGCTGTTGTAATAAGGAATTTGTTCTCCCCAAAACCAGCTCTAGACACAAGTCTAGATGCAGCATCCTAGACCTGCTGAAGTTTCCAACACATTTCAAAGTTAGCCCCATACAAAGCAAATCACAGATATAACTAGGCATGTATCACTATGATGCATCAGATCAGACATCTCAAGGAACAGCTATCACTAGCGCATTCATTTTAACGGCACAAAAATACCCCTGGGCATTCAGGCTCAGGGATGAATCCAGAAACATATCCAAACTTGAACATGCCGAAACTTACAATTTGCTAGCATAGTCTTTAAGGGCACTTCCATATAAAAATGAGCAATGTCTAAATAAAAAAACATTACTTTGTGGTGCAGTGGACTAACATGAGGGCATAAATACTGAAGCATAAATACTGAAGTACTGAAGTATTTATGTCCTCATGTCAATTTATTGAGATATTTATGCCCTCATATCCTGGTGCAGTGGTTAAAGTTTCCGAATAAGAAGCTAACTTCAGCCTCGTCTCATGGTTAGTGTTTGATCTCAGCAGGTTCTGGCGGCCAGCTCAAGGCTGACTCTACCTTCCATCCTTCCAAGGTTGGTAAAATGAGTATCCAGCTTGCTGGGTGTGTGTGCAATGTCTAACGTTATAACTGAACTATAAACTGCCCAGAGAGTGCTTTGTTAGTCCCAATTCACTGAATGAATAAAACATGTAAAGTCAACAATACTGTAATCCCACTGACTGACTGAGAGCCTATATAATACAGAATTTCGTATCACAGTTATGGGCCATCAGATCACTTCCGAGTTATGGCGACCCTATGAATCAAAAAGTCCTAACACTAGGCAGCAAAAAATTCACTTCACCCACTTTATTTGCATTCTTGGCCCTTATTCCTAAAGAGCGTTTTGCTCTTCAAGAAGCAGCAGTAAGAAATTTAAAGAATTAGCAATTGGATCTCCTCAAACCAGAAACACAGAATACTTGTTATATATACAGTATAGGAGCCTTCATCCGAAATGCTATCTTCTGAAACCAAATTCCAGAAACCCTCTTTTCCTTTGCAAAGATAAGAAAACCGCGCCTACTAGTTGTCACTGCAGTTTGTCAAGCCACGTGAGTAGATGGGGCGAGAGCTTTCCCCCCCACTTTCCGTCCCACTTCCTTCTGGGATTTGTAGTTCTTCGAGCGCTCCCCAGCTCCACTCTCCTTACGGCTTGGTCCGACTGTCTGTCCCAGAGACCTGGACTTTCCCTTTGCGCTGATTGGTTGAGGCGAAAGAGGGGACGGGCTGGAACGGGGCATCCCTCGCGCCGCCCCGGAGGCGCGTGCCGCTTGCAGGAGGAGGAGAAGAAGGAGGGACGGGCCTGGGCTTTTTTTTTTTTTTGCAACGGCCCTCCGGAGGGGGTGGGGGTGACGGCGGCTTCGGCCAAGTTCGCCCCGGTTCTCCGAAACCGTCAGGTAACGGTGTCGAAGCGGACTCCTCGGCCCCCTTTCCCACCGCGGGCTTTCCTCTCGTCTTCTCCTCATGGGTTGCTTTCTTTATTTCTGCTGCAGGAGGGCAAGTTTGGGGGGAGAGAGAAGAGAAGAGAAGAAGACCGAGTCCGGGAGCACACGAGCCGGGAGGGGAAGAGGGCTCGGCTTTTCCCCCTGAGGGGGGGCCAGAGCCTCTAGTTCGAGAGGCCCTTCAGGAAGGGAAGGGAACGAGCTCTTCGGGTCCCGTTTTTCTCTCCTTCCCGGGCAGTCCCTGCGACGAGAGGAGAGCCACTTTTCCTGGCCGGCTCTTGAGTTCCACGTTGCGAGAGGCCCCTCGGCTATGGAAGTGGAGCCGCCGCCCGCCTGACCGAGGGCAGCCGCCTTTGCCCTCCCGCTCCCCCTCAGAAAGAGGCTGGTGGATAGTAATGATAAGGACTCGCAGGTAATCGAGAGTGTTGGGGTGGTGCGTGTGTGTGTGTGTTTGTGTGTTTTGTATGTTTGGTTTCTCGTTTCCTGCCGAGAGTCTTTGCACACCCTCCACGAGGACTCTGTGGCTTCTTTCCTTTTTTTTAGGGAGGAGAAAGATCACATGAAGGGGATCTTGGCTCCGAAGAACTAGGTCTCGGAAGAGAGCGGAGAGCATTATCGTTCTCGGGGCGGGGGAGTGCCCCTGAAATGATGGCGGATCAGGAGGGAGAGGTGAGATGGGACGGGCTGCGCAGCCGGGAGCCGAGCGCCAGAGACGGCGCTTTGGAAACTATAAAGCAGGTGGTGCTCAAGAGATGCGAAGCGGCGTTGGCAACCCGGGCCAAAGGAAACGCGACTCCTCCTGCGCCGGCGGAGGAAGGGCTCTCGCCCCTTCGGGATGCAGCTCGGAGCGGCTTGAACCAGGTGCTAGCTCGCTTGCTTATGCTGTCGGAGAGATGCCCCTTCCGGGACGTGAGAGAGAAGTGCGAGGCCATTCTAAAAAGTGTTCAGGTAAAAGTGAGGCTCAGATCCTGGTCTTTTTTTTAAATTTATTTTTGCGGGTGAGTTACTTGGAAAAGGCAAAGGTAGTTGGTTTGGCCAGAAGGGAAGTAGCAAAAAAACAAAACAAAACCTTATTAGCTTTTTACCTTGATTTTGGTTATCTTTAGGCAAAACCAGAAAACCTGCAGGTGTTTCGATTGTCTAGAACTCCAGATGGGAGGAGCAAGGAGAGGGAAGCTCATGTTGTTGAAACCATTGACCTTTCCTTTAGTCCAGGGCTTCCCAAACTTGAGTCCCTATGTGTTCGACTTAAGCCCTAAGCAACACAGCCAGTAGTCAAGGATTGTAAGAGTTATGATCCAAGAACATCTGGAGCCCCGAGTTTGGGAGCCTCTGCTTTAGTCAGTCTTCAGGTGGAACACGGGAGACAATAGTGGCATTCAACTTGTGCTCTTCTGAGGTTAAACTGCACCAAGGACTAACCCTTGGATGACTACTATGATTCATCCCAGGTGTTATCTCTGGAAAATCCCAATTCTTATATTGAGTCTATATTGATAGACTTTGCTGCTGAACCTTGAAGTTGATCATCAGTGGAATTTATTTCTAATGCAGTGGTCAGAATCCTGTTGGTATTTGTATAAGAGTTGTGTGATAAAGTGCAGTTGCTTGTGGCTGATTGACAAGGTGCGGGGGTGTGCTTTGGTTGTACAGTCAGTTGTATGACTAGACACACAAGCAAGATGTGCACCAGCATCTCCTCAGGTAGCAACAGTTACTAGCTAGTTAAGTTACATGTATGTTAGGTCAGTGTTTAGGACTGGATTCTTAGTGAGCAAACAGGCTGAAATACATAACGCTGAACTCAAATTAGCTAAAGATACACAGTACATGTTTAAATCGTTATTATGCAGTCTTGACATAGCAGAATTTTACATGTAAGGAAATGTAAGTGGCTCTGTAAGCATTTAGTATGTGGATGCTTCAGTTTTGCAAATTTTCTTCATCTGAGATTGTGCACAATAAAGGCAGTAACAAAACTAGAGATGGCAAAAGGATTCCTAGTTTTTTTAAAGAAGAAAAGTTTGTAGTAGTGATATGCAATATAAAAGTGTGAGGTATATTAATCTTTCCTAAAGGTCTTTCAGCTCATATGGAAGTTTGCAAACTTATTGCATCTTCCAGGTTTGAGTGGGATGAAAAATTTTAACCCTTTTTATTTTGCCATATGAAATAATTTTTTTTGCCTAGAGCCCTCTCTTTACCTAGATTTAAAAAAGATAAATGAGTGTTACAGAGAAATCATACTTTGGATAGTGATGACAAGCAAATTTACAAAATTATTTTAATGTCAGTGTGTTTTGAGAAAGATAGTCTTAAACACAGGTCCTATGCTATCAGAACTGTACATTTGTTTGCAAGCTAGTAGAAATTATGATTTACAGACAACAATGTAATATTTTTAAAGAGAAAATTAGGCATTTGAATTAGAAATCATTATGTTGGTAAATTTGCTATGGAAGTTCAGACAGAAATCTTGTTCATTTAACTAAAGTCCTAGATGCTCATGTCTAAGCTGTTAGTGAGAGGAGGGGCAGTCCAAACAGAAAGGTAAAACTTTTGAATGGGTTCTTGTATTCAGTTTCTGGACTTTGTGGCTTCACAGAATGGAGGCCTTACTCTCTTCTTTCCATCTTCATGAAGCATCCTCCTTCTCTCAATAGATGACTTTGCTAGCTGCTGTCTCTTTCATTTTTTGAAGTGAAAAGTAATCAGTCTGCCAAACAGAAGGTGATATTGCATACATCTCTGTTTTAGGGAGCAGTTCAGGGAATAGTTGCCATGATTTGCTGCTCTATGATTCTTTTCATGGAGCAGCAGACAGCAGGTGAGGAAGGGGAGACAGCATCAATGGCTTCATGGACATTGATTCTGCAAAAATCTTAAAGACAATCAAGCACCCTAATCCAGGTGATTTGCTTACCAGATGGTCAAGTAAAACTGCAGTAGGTATCCTTTGACAAAGAAGATACCACTCTGTACAAACCTGAGAGTGATTTAAAACCATAATGTTTTACAACAATATCCTTTAGTCCTCTCTAACTGTATGTGTATTGTGGCCCACTGTTATATCTGAAAGAACATTTGACCTGAACAGTGCATGAAAGAGAGCCAGTGAGATGTAGTGGATAGAATGTTGAGCTATGGCTTAGTGATGATGATAAACAATTCTTTGAATCTCTCATATACGTAAAAAACAGCCCTATTAGGGTTCCCATAACATGGAAACAACTTGATGGCATAAAATGCCAATATAAGAAGGGAACCTGACTGCAACTTTTTCTCAAATACTGATGTCTAGAACAGTCATGCAATACATTGCATAGGATAGACACACCTGTAATTCATGTTATTTTTTAAGGAGATAATAATCCAATTCTTTCTACCTATAAAGCCAGATACTTGAATACACATGCTTTGTGTTTTGGTGAGATGTGGAGAAATGATGGAAAAAGGAGTTGAGTTTTTGCTTGCTTGGTGCCTCTGTATGCTAAAATGGGATTTTGTAGAACATTTGACTCTTGATATTGGAGTCATTAACATGCTGAACTTTGCTATATAAAGCTTTGTATGTTTAGTATGTAAATACTTGGTATGTTGATGGTAATCTTTAAGTAGGACATTCCTATCTGAAGACTTCCTTTTGACTGCTCTACTGTCTAGCCTCTTATAAGAATGTAAGAAAGGCCATGTTGACTGGACCAAAGGCATTCTGTTCATTCAGTGGCAAACTGGTTGTGTATGGGAAGTCTAGAAGGGCATACATAAATAATAGCACTCTCCCATTTATGGCCCACAGTAGCTGATATGCAAAGGCATGTTGCTATAGAATTGGAGTGAATATACGTATGTCTGTCACTAGTAGCCGACCACTGATAGCCCTACACCCCATGAATTTGTCCAATCTCTTTTAATTCTGTCTTGATTTCAGCGTCGCTAAATCTTCACATATAAAATTCTGGAATTTAACTATGATGTGTGAAGAACTGCTTTCATTTATAGTCCTGAATCTTAATATGATGTGGGAAAACTT